TCAATATTTTTTTTTCACTTCGATTTATATTCACTCTTAATTATTACTTATTTCCATATGTTACCAAGAATAATTTTTTATATTTAGTTGTATTTCAGTTTGTACTCACTCTTTAATTGTTACTTATTTTCTTGTGTGAGAAAAATACAAGTTAAAAAATATAGAATAAAAATTTAATAACTTGTAAGAGAAAAAAGACAAACAAATTTAAGGATGAAAAAAATGAAGTAATATATATATTATTCTCGAAGTTTTATTTCATTTAATGATATTTTTTCTATAACACTATAACTTTAATCAATGATTATATCATGGCTGAAAACCTACAAATTCCAATACAAAGGTGAAAACTCTCAAATCCCAAAATACTATTATTGACAGTTTAAGTACAATATATTTATATGAACTTTATTCGTCTAACAATTTGAAGGAGCCAGAAGGACATTTCCCACAAAATCTTCACTCCATCATTTAAAAAAAAAACACGTAACACTCAACCTATAAGTCAATGTCTCCAATCAGATTCTGTACAGTCAGAAACTAGCATCAGTCTTTGAGATGCTACTGTGAAGCTAATGTTACACCAAGTTCACTGCAACTCAGGCAATTGTATTTGGAAGAAACTTAACTTTCTTCCACTCTTCACCAACTTAAATGTCACACACAGTGACTTTGTGAATTATCTTGGCCCAGAAAGTTCCATTGCTTGTGCAAGTAGTGAAGAGTCATCAGTGAGATCAGAGTAGCGCTCTGAAGAGGAGAGTTCATTTCCTCTACATCTTGTTGATTCAGCTCTCTGTGAGGCTTCCCATTTCTCTGCAAGACCATCTCCTTCAAGCATCCTAACCACTTCAGACATCTTGGGTCTGTGACTTGGAAGGTACTGAGTACATAAAAGAGCCACTTGCACAATTTCATCAAGTTCAATCCTGTCATAGTTGTTTTTTAGGTCCTTGTCAACCAACAGGTCAATTTTCTTCTCTTGATGGATTTTCTTCACCTGCAAGTATAGTGATGGGGACATATCGCATGATAGCTCGTTATAAGCTTGACGAAATTTATTGAAAAAAGTTCAGAAATTACTTTGACTAGTTTATCTGTAATATTTTTCATTAGTTAGGTAAGAAATAGGTAACAAAAGTTTTAAATAAGTTTTTAATCCATGTAAACATGACAAAGTTTAATACTTACAAAAACTTTTTGGTTAGTTTTAGTCCTCATAAATATAATTATTTTAAATGGTTACTATAGTAATTTAGTGATAATGTGCCATGCATCTACACATGTCTAATTAGAAGTTTCTCTTAGGTGACATATGACATGGCATATCTAGATGCATCACATCATTACATGGTGGTAAAGAATTTTTTCAAAACTTGTAAAATTTACAAGGAATAAAACCAATGAAAGAAATCTGTACAAAAACAATGTCAAAATTCATTTTGTTTACAGGACTGGCAAACATATTAAACCAACAATAAATAAATGAAAAAGAAACTAATTGTGGTTGCTCACCCAGTCTAGCATGGCTCCTTTCTGGTTTGCTGCTTTCCCAAACTCAAGAGCCCTTTGGCCAGATATTAGTTCAAGAAGAAGAATTCCAAAACCAAACACATCTGTTTTCTCAGAAGATTGACCTGTTGAGAGATACTCGGGGGCTATGTGCCCCACAGTGCCTCTCACTGCTGTTGTCACATGTGAATCCCTGTGATCTAACAGCTTTGCCAGCCCAAAATCTCCCACCACAGCCTCACAATAATCATCAAGCAAGATATTTGCTGCCTTCACATCCCTGTGAATAATCTTTGGATCACACTGTTCATGCAAATATAGCAAGCCTCTTCCAGCTCCTAAAGCTATTCTCTTTCTCGTAGGCCAGTCCAAAGCTGGCTTGGCTGTTTCATATAAAAGTAATGAATCCTCCTACTTCATAAAACAAATGATATGTTTGGAAATTCAAAACAATTCTTTTACTTTGGTTTTAAGGAATTAGGAGTGCATTTGAGTTGACATTTGCATAAAAAGTTTCATTTGTATGACAGAAGACCCAAGAATACTGCTACTGGATATATGTACAAGTTATTAGATAAAATACACATTTGGCCCCTCATCTATTTGTTTTTGCTTTCATTTCAGTTTGGTCTCTAAATTTAAAAGTTTTTAATATTGGATCCTTAAAACATCTGTGCTGGACCAAGTTGGTCTTTACATCAATATACCATATTAATTTGGTAATTAGAAAATTGTAAGAGATACATGTTTGTCACCTTAGCCAAAACTAATACTGTTAGTACAAAAAACTAACAGAAGCACCATTTGCCTAAGCTACTCAAGTGAAATTCTTAAATATAGGAGATCGAAGGGAAAGCAAAAGAGTATGGGACTAAGTGTATCTTATCCAAGCTTGCAATCGAGTCCTAGAAAGTGACTGCCTCTGTTCTTTTGCTTACTGAAAGTACTTGTTTATACAAATTAGTCCTTTGAGATATAAAATTGTTTACAAGTTAACAACTCAGCTGGAGTAACTTGTTAGCCAGTTAAAACTTTTGGAGGATCAATTTGCATAAACATGGACTTACAAATACTAAAGTAACTCAAGCTACCAATTTGAAGAGCCAAATTGTGTTAAAAACTATATAAATTGTAACAGTAATCTAGCAGTATAAAATTGTCATACCTTTCATACGGGAAGCAACACTTCCATTTGACATGTACGGATAAACCAAGAGCCTCTCTGTAGCTGTCATGCAGAATCCATATAGTCGAAGAAGATTCCGGTGGACAGCTAAGCTGATCATCTCAACTTCAGTCTGGAATTGGATCTCACCTCCAATGGCATTACCGTCTTTGAGCCTTTTTACTGCTATAACTGTACCATCCTGGAGATACCCTTTGTAGACATTTCCAAAACCACCTTTGCCAATCAAGTTCTTGCTGCTGAAGTTGTTTGTAGCAAGCTGAAGTTCTCTGAAATGGAACTTCTTGAGGTTTCCAAGGCAAAGCTCTTCACGGTGTTGTTCTAAAGTAGGAAGAAAAATTGAATTAAAGAAGAGTAAATCAATGATATGCCTACCAAGTTGGCCTATGAACCCTTAAGTTCAAGATCCACTGACCATTAACATCAAAGAATATTTGCTTGTTATATCTTTGTCTCCACCAGATGAGGAAGCCAAGTCCCAGAACTAGTAAGCATATACAGCTTAAGCTTGAAGCAAACGCCAAGGCTACTTTGTGACTGTTTGGCCTTTTGGTGGATTGTGTATCTTGAATAGCATTTCAGGAAGTTGTGTTAGGGTATGAAGGTAATTTGCATGCAAAAAGAAAAAATAAATACAAGGGTGGAGAATGATGGAAACAATGATTATAAACATGCGAAGATAACCTAGAACCTGATAGTTTTGAACAGTTTTGTGAAATAATTATGCACCCCAAAACAGTACTTTTGGACTAAGTGTTAGACTAAGTCCACTATATGACAGATAAGAAGAAACGCTTTAGATGCAACATCATGAAGGTGAAAAAGCGTAAACAAATCTAAAACATGTAAGAACTATGATTACCTTGAGAATTATTCGGAGCCGAAGGAATTGACGTTGTTCTGAAGCAGTTCTGCTCGACTCCAGTGGCACATATCTGAGGATTGCCTACAATACTGTTTCGAAAGAAGGAAAATATACAATTAATTAATAATATGTAAGCAAAATTTATAATTTTAACTCACGTGAGGAAAACAGAGAAAATATTGAATGAGAAAAAAATAAAAAAAGTTAAGACCAAACACCTTACTTGAATGTTTTTGCATTTATTCTTGGTACAGGTTCACTCAAGTTATTATAAGAGATATCCCTAAGAAAAATTCAGAAGACAAATAATTGATCAGTAATCAAGTTAATGAGGAGGAAAAAAATAATAAATCAATGATAGAGGACTAGAAGAGACTTACAGAAAGGCAAGTTGAGTCATGTTAGCCAAAGAGGAAGGAATAGGTCCAGTGAGACTATTATTGTTTAGCCGCCTGATAAAAATTCAAATTCCTATCATCAAATTCTTGATAGAAATTAATACACATTTTTTGTAAATCCTATAAAAGAATGCATAGCATTATGTTCTTGAACTTACAAATAATTGAGACCCTTCATGTGGGCAAGAGAATCTGGAAGTTGACCAGTGAATACATTGTCAGAAAGATCAAGAGTCTGAAGCTTTTGGAGCCTTCCAATCTCATAGGGGATTGGTCCTGTTATATTATTATCCTGCAGAAGCCTACAAAATGCATAGTATGATAATATTCTTAACACAAACTTCCCCCGATTCTAATTTTACCAAAAATAGCATGTTACTCACACAGTCAAGAGGTTAGGTAAGTTGCCTATGCTTGGTGAGAGTTTGCCAGATATATTTTGGCTTGGAATTCCACTGAAAAAGAAAAGTGTGAAATAAGTAGAAACTTAAGAAGCAGAAAAACAGTGAAATTGAATATTTCCTGTTATGGTTTGGTTTGTTCTAGTTTGACTTACAGGGCAGTGACAAAATGATCAGAAGAACATGTGACCATAGCCCAGTTGCAAGGATCTACAGCATCACCATCCCAGTTACCCAAGACAGAATATGGATCCACCAGAGCGTTCTTAATGCTCATCAGAGCTTGAACTGCATGTAAGACAAGCATTTATTAGGACTAGAGAGTGACCTTACATTTGTGTGCTCTAAGAAATAAGGGAAGTGCACCTAGTCAATCACCTTCAGAGTTGACACCTTTAGGAGAAAGCAAACCAGCCACTGAAGTCCACAAGAAGAACAAAGCCAAACAACATAGAGCTACATCCCCTCTTTTCTCCATTGGGTTGAATGAAGGATCACCAGAAACTAATATCCGTTATTACCACAACAAAACTGGATCAAGTTGTATCTTAAGGAGGAGGCAAGTAAAGAGCAGGTTTTGAATGATTCAGCTAACACCACCAAATCCAAATTGGTTTGTTTTTGTTACATGTCATGTTTTACATCAGAAGAGGAACCTCAACCAAGTCCAACAGTACCATTCCCACCTGCTTCCAAGCCAGAATTGCACTAACTTCCACCCTTGTGTCAGACTTGAATCAGAGCCAATGGTAAAAAGTCTTAAAAGAGAGCCAGCGTGCCTGTTGATAGTTCAACAAAGAAAGCAAAGCAAAGAACATATAATAAAAAGACATAAGGCACCCCCCTCCATTACCCTCTTTCTAGACAAATGCAAAGGATGATTGAAAAAGAAAATTCCATCAATCATGCATTGGTCTAAAGAGCATGAGTGTAAAGTGTTATTCTATTCCTTCAAATATAATACTTGAAAGAAAAAAAAAAAAGAAAAAAGTGAGAGCAAGTGAAGTATTATCTGTTAAGCACTGTGAAAGTTTGGCTCGATGGACCTTAATCAAAAAAATTAACTAAGTGGGTCAGTGAGTTTAGCTGCCATCAACTATGAGAGAGAGAGATTGAGAAATAGCTCTTTGATATTTTAAGCTCTCTCAGTGTCCTGTAGAAAAATTAGAATCCAAAAACATTCCCTGCCCGAGGTATGCCATTCATTATCTTAAGTACCGAACTCCACTTTCTTTCGTTTTATTCAATTATTATGAGAAAAGTTAGAATCCCAAGGGATTGAGGTTGAGATTGGTGATGCAATGGCTCCTCCTTATGAGATCTTTGTTGTGTCAATTATGTCTCCCATTTTCTCTCACTGTTACTTTCTATTTTCTTTGGTCATGCTAATCTTAGTTGGCCATGCTTTATTGATCCTCAATCACTCATTTTGTCTCCAAATAATCACATTCATCAGACAGTTCCTCTAATAAACAAGCCAAAAGCAGCCTACTTTTAAAAGCAAAAGCTGTTCTCACACTGTTCTGAATCACCCCCACAAGAATCCCCAAACTACCCTCCATAACTAACAAGCCAAGGTGAGGGCTTTTTAGTTTTTAACATCATTGCTGTGTCATGAAGTACAAGGGGTGTGAGATGTCTATTTCACTCCCGTTTTTACAGGAACTTTTATTTTAAATTTTTCATCAAAATTTGCTTTGCATATCAGAGCTGACATGCAGAACCCACCAAACAACAGAACTGACACCCTGTTAATATAAAATTTGTTTCCTTATTACCGTACTCAGATTATTCCAACCTCAAATTAGAATCACAAAATCTTAAACATCGAAATTGGAGTGTAATTCCACACACAATGCATGTTTTCTGTCAGAGCTGTGTGCACAGAGTTCTATTTAATCTCAAGTGATTCTTTTTATGCTACTTTTAAAATTCAGCTGAAACTCACAACTACAATTAACTTTTATATATACAACTTTTTTTATCTGATATATATGCAATTTCTCTAAGAAAATAAAGCTAGTCATGTATGGTCCAGCTGTAAGATGTACCTTAAATAAAGGCATAATATAATAGTTTTCTTTAGCAATTCTCACATTACTTTATTGAGTTTGTAATTTTATTTTATTTTTTTCAGAAATTTGTAATTTCCTTATAAATTCTAGTTTATATTTCTTTCTCTTGAGATACAAAACTATTTTTATGAAAAAGTTATAAAGCTGTTTAACATAATACCAAAGCAATGGTTACAATATTGATCTACTCTAAAATAAAACAATGTTAAACCAAAAAACAAAGGTCATGCTTGAAACACATTCAATTACTCAAAGACCACCATAACTTTTTATATGAACTACTTGATGGACGTGCTCAACCTAAATGTGGAAAAAAAAAGCAAAAAATCGATTATGATATTTTCTAAAATCAAAACATACTCTTATGCTATTATATTTGAGGTCTTGTTTGTTTCATATTTAAGAAAAAATATTTTTTTATACTTGTGTGTTTTTGTTTTTGATATTTTGGTGAAAGGGGTGAGGGTTGAAAGTTGAAACAGGTCTTCCTTTACAGGTGAAAGTGGTCCCATGGTTTCCATCTGAAACAGTAGCTGTGACCGCATGATTGCATGGTGCACTGTAGCACCTTGGTGCACGTGCATTACAGACCCCACACCAATATCACTCACTTCACTCATCCACCATCAAAATATATTGGACTGAAGGTGTCTTACGAAAAAAGTTTCTCAAAAACAATATCCATAGTGTCATAAGGAAACAAACCCAGATGTGATAATTAGTCTTTTTATTAGGTTAGTTAATTAAGCTACTTTGGTTTTAATTAGTCTTTTTTTGACAATGATATTACACCTTTTCCTCATCCTTCTCAGAATGCTCACCCTTCATTTCCTTGTGTGTCTGTGGATTGAGATTTTTATTGTGGAAACTAATGAATGAATTCATCATTATATTGATTAGATATTCTCGATAAGAAGATATTTTAATTAATCTGTGGTATTATAATGTGATCATTTATTAATTAACTATAATAGGTTCATAGTATGCATAACGAGTGTTTAAGGAGGGTTGGAAATTTTAGAAGAAGGACTAAATTGAATAATAATATATAATTTAAAATTAATTGTTATATAAAAAGGTAAAAGAGAAAAAATAAAGTAGAATGTGTAAAAGAGAATAAAAAAAATATTTATTATTATTATATATTATTTAAAAAACATTTCATTTTACAAAATTGTGTTTACAAAGCATAATTTCAATTTTATTTTTAAAAAACAAACTTTATTATTATTAGAAAACGGAAGCCTCGTATTGAAACATACTATTTACTTATTTTCATAAATTTGAAAACTTTATTTATTTCAGTAATTTCAGAAAATAAATTACAGTAATTAAGTAAAAGACTGATAGCCGATAATAGAAAAGTTGCTTAGCCTTCTAAAGGATTTCGATCGACATGCAATGCATTCAAAATAATTGAAAAATTACTGATATTATTTTATTGCGAGAAGCAATAACTGATATTATTAATATATAGACTTGGAATACATAATCCTTTTTAATTTAATATTTAAAGTGGCATGTAATTCTCTTTCAACAATTTTATTTTATTAATACCCATTTATTCCAAAAATATTTTGATTGGAGATCCTGATGAGCACTACTTGAGAATAGTACTACTGCTACAGACCAATATTTACGTATTAACATGATGCGGCATGTAATTAACATTTCGTACTTTCTTTTTATGTTCGTTTTATGGGACTTTCTTTGTTTTGCCACACATGTCTGGTCTCCAGTTCTTTTCTTCTTTTTCTTCCCTGTGGGGTTTCACTTCAAACTCATCACCTTATCCTTTCAAATAATCCCAATTCAAAAATAAAACATTGACCAAGAATCACCCAAACTCATTTAAAAAACTATATTCACAATGATTCCATAAAATAAAGGTACACGTGGGAGAATGCCAACATCTTTTATGGGTTATGGTCTATATTATGAGTATTGGTTATCATGTCCAAGTTAATAGAAAGTTGCAAGAAGCCCAAAAAAGAGAGTCAAAGCAATGGATTAAAGAGAGAAGTTGACTATGAGCATAATGAGTAGATTGAACATTGAGTTAGCCCAAATGAGTGGGAAATGATTGTTGTTTTAACTCAGTAGGAATGTTTCAATGGAGGGGGAGGAGGGTGTATGATGGCAAAATGTACTAATACACCACATCATTATGATGGCTTTGCCCATGTTCTTTAGAAAAAGACGACAATTATAAAGCTTCCAAAAATGTTCACAATTGACACCCTGTTCCACCAGCATGTTCCCCTTGCTGCATCCATTTCTCACCCACTCACTGCATTTTACCCATCAACTTCTTCCCTACAAACAACAAATCTTGTACTAAATTCATACATATGTCGGTCAGGATATCTCATAATGTACCTAGTCTCCACCACCCTTGAAATCTACAAACCGTCTAAAAACAGATTATTTAAACGTGTACACAACAGTGTGTGTAGTGTGAAAATTAACTTTATCAAGTAAGCAACTATGCTCATAAGGGAATAGTATTCTTTTTGTATAAAATATTTAGGCATCTCAAGTAGAAGATGAATTGATTGGTGAAGGAAATGTGTGGCTTGAGTGAAAGAAATCTTCCAAGTTCGATGTTGATCCTCAGAATATTACCCAAAAAAGTTGTCTAGAAACTAGAAAGAAAGAACCCACTAAAAATTATAATAATCTTTAATTTCATTGGCTCCATAGCACAAATTGTGTATGACACCAAAGATAGTGCATAATTTTTTTGGTTAGGTTTCAACTCATGTGAACCAACCAACCAATCAAGTGTTAAAGGTAGAATATATTCTCAACATAGAGAGGTAGTACCCTTTTTTAAAGCGTTGGATACTAAACACGTTACCCCAACTTTTTCTACCTTTTCCATTAGCAGTGGTTACAAGATATTATTGACACCCCAATCAATTTTTGATACCACCCATAAAGTGAGACTCTGTTATTGTCTTTCTTTTGTCAAACCCCACACACGCACAATCTATTAGAAATTTGTTAATAGTTTTAAATTGAGAAACTGACCATATATTCTTGTATACTATATTTTTAAAGGAAAATTTCACTGTGTATTGTATGCTTATTAAAAATTTCAATCTTTAAACGGGAAAACACTAAGCATAAAACTTTTTATTTCATCGGATATGTCACAGTGAACATAAGAGTATATTTTTAAGGAGAGTTACTAATTATTGATTGCGGAATTCATTTTCTATTTTCAATGATTTTTACAAAATTATTTAACAGAGAAAAATAAACATAATAGATCGGAGTCATCCATGTCTAAAACTCATAAAATTTGGAAACTCAATATTTAGAACTCAAAATAACATCTCCACATGCATCTAATAACTATCACAAAATTTAAGACCAAATGAAATTTAAATCCTCTAATGTAATTAAGTTATATTTTTTAATAGTTACTACTTCACATTTTACTATTGATCTAAAAAATATGTTATCAAAATATCCTTGTTGAATTGAGTGTTTAAATATTAATTGTTAGTTTGAGAATTTAAGATTAAACTAAAAGTTATAACTAATAATATCTGGGTACGACCTTTTATTACAGGGTTTTTGTCATACTTAAAAAGCTCTAATAATTCGGGCTTTTGTCGGATTATTTTATTGAAGGGTTTGCACATGAGAAATTGAAAATATGTGAAGCCTATATGATTAACCTATATTTTATTGTAATGGCAAAAACACAAACAAAATGTGGCTGCTGGGATTCGAGCCCAGGTCTCCACGGCCACAACGTGGAATTCTTACCACTAAACTACAGCCACATTTTGTTTGTGTTATAAATTTATAATCAATAAATCAATATTTACTGTAAATTGGAATGGTATTATTTATAAAACCTAAAGTAATTAATTATTTCGGTAGATTCATGAACAAGCGTCGACGTGATGTCTTCTCCGTGCAGCTACTGCAACAAAACATCGTTCATCGGTGACGATGTCTCTGGCGAGTTAATATGTTCCTCATGCGGCGGCATTCAGCAGTTCGACCAATTCGACGCCCAAATCGGCGCCATCGACGGTCCTCAGGGAACCTTCATCCGTGTCGGCACCGCAGGTTCGGGCAGCCTTTATTCATTCAAAGAGAGGAAACTTTTCGCCGCGCAAACCACCATCGAGGAAGTAACTTACACCCTAGGGTTATCTTCCAAGAGCGTCGACGTTAGGAGCATGGCGTCCACTATCACCGAGGGCGAGTTCGGCCAAGGCGAGTGGTTCCGCGTGCTCATCGGTGCGTGCGCGTATGTTGTCATGCGGAGGGAGGATCAACCCTTGCCGATGGCGGAAGTCGCCTCAGCGGTGGGGTGCGACTTGTATGAAATCGGTAGGAGTGTCGTTTTTGAATCCGAGGTCTGATTTTCCAGAGTTTGACATTGTGCATTCGTTGGAACGGACAATTAAGAATTCGACAATTTTTGCCTCTCTTGATAAGATTCGGAAGCAGGAGGTGTTTTTGATTCAGTGTGCGGTGAAGTGGTTTTTGAGCACTGGTCGCCGGCCGCTTCCGTTGGTGGTGGCGGTGGTGGTGTTTGTAGCGGAGCTGAATGGGATTGCGGTGGAGATGGAGGAATTGGCTAGGGAGGTTCATGCTAAGGTTTCAACTTGTAGGACTAGGTATAAGGAGTTCCTTGAGACACTTGTGAAAGTTGCACAGGTGCTGCCTTGGGGGAAGGATGTTACTGTTAAGAACATTGTTAAGAATGCGCCTTTTGTGATTCAGAATTTGGAGAGGAAGGCTATGTTGAACCCTGGGGTGATTCAGGAGAAGAGGAAGGATCTTCATCGAGCTGCAGTTGACTTGGAGGATGTGGTTGCTAAATGCTTGAGACATGATGATGAATTAGAATATGGGGTTGATGGCGTGACTTCGCGGAAGGATTTGCAGTATTTTTCGTCGGAGAGTAAGGCTAATAGATTGGGTGTTGGGGATGCTGACATGCTGCAGGTTTCGCCTGAATGCTTGTCTGTGCTGTATAAGAAGTTTTTAGATGAAAATCGTTGTGCCGAGCCTTTGAGAGGGAGTGCGAATGCTCGGAAAACAAGAAATTTTGGATTTGATCTGCAACAGTGTACGGAGTGGTGGGATGGAAAATCTGAACTGAGCAAAAAGCTTCTGCTTAAACATCTTCTGGAGAAGGATATTGGAGTGGAGACCATGCTGCCATCATTTGTCAATGGTCAATTGAAATGTAAAATGAGGCAGGACAGAATCAATGCTGCTAAGCTAAGGATAAAGCGAATTATGCATCCCTTTGGGTGCTGAGATTCCTGGACCTTCACATAGCTCTTGTCCTGAAAGTGGGAAGAGAAAAGGAATGGTAGTTGACGATGTTGATTGGGAAGACCTTGTTATTGAGACCCTTGTTCTTCATCAAGTAAAAGATGAGGAAATTGAGACGGGACATTACAATACCTTACTGGATTTACATGTATTCAACTCTGGCATTGTTTGAGAAGTTTCAGATATAGAGGCTTTCTATGAGAAGTTTTAGATATACTGCGATTTTACTTGCTCAATTACATTTTCTTGTAAAACAGAGCTCACTATTATCCTTTCATTGATGATCAATCCACCAACTTTTTATCATCATTGATTCATATACTTTTGATTGTTATTAATATAAAGCCAGTTTCCTTTCTTTTATCAACTGTACATTATTTCTCTAATATCAATAATTCATATTTTTAATGAATTTCTTTGGTTACGATACGTATCAGTTATTCCAGTTCCTCAATTCATATCCACTGAGCTATAAAAAGTGGAGATTTGTTTGAATAATTTTTCATTTTCTCATTATTTCTTATGCAGTCCTAACAGTCTTATATTTTGTCTAAAGCTTTTATAAAAGTGTGGATTGGAAAAGTTTAGCTAGAGTTTTTGTCTCTTTCCTTGGCATGAAATTTCTCTTGTTTATGATCATTACTGCTGTTCGGAAATGTGTTAGAAAAATGATATCTAGTGGGTGAACAGAACACAAATAAGTCAAACTACAAATCTATTAAAAATATTTATTAATTTATTAATTTAATTTTAATGATAAGATAAAGGAGAAATAATAACATAATAAGAAAGGTACAAGAAAAAGAGAAGAGTGATTAAGGAAATAAAAGAAAAGAAAAGAAAAGTACATAGTAATTTATATTAATTTGGATATAATGAACTTTACATCTAGATCTCAATTAATTTGGATATAATCAACTCTACATCTAGTTCTCAATCAACTCTAAGATAAGAGTAGTATTCACTTTCTTCCAAATATTTTAAAAATAACATTTTTTTTTAAACTTATCATTTTAACATGATCAGAGCATTTGATTTTGATATGAGCGACATTTTCTATAACCTAAAAGAAACTTTATCTAATTTGATAATTTGAGTTTAACAATGATGTAAAATAGTTATATAATCATTCTATAGTAAATAATTATCATATATTTATCATTAAAATCAGTTAATTTACAATATTTGGTGGTGAAATTAGATTACAATTTGTAATGTGAACGTATGACTTATTCTAATGTACATTATTGTTTTATCCGGATATCAATTTTTTGGTTTTATTCTCAATGTCTTATTTTTATCGGGAGTTTTTTATTTCAATATTTTTTTATAATTTATCAAAATATATAATTAAAAAAATTACATATTTGATTAAGTTATGGTATGAAACACACTTTAATATAAAAAAATTGTACTTGATAATATGATTTCTATTTTTTTTATTAATATTTTCATTTATATAAAAAAATTATTTTTGGAACCTTCTTTTATGTCATTAAAATTAAAATTAAAATATTATAATTTAAAGAAAAATAATTATTATGATTTATATATTTAAAAATAGAACAAATATAAAAAAATGAAGAAAAAAGTGAATATATTTAAAAGTAGAATGAGAAAATAACATAAAATTTTAAAATAATATTTTAATAATCGATTAAAAATATGAATAATGCAAATGTGTTTCCATTAATTATAACAATAATAATAATTTTTTATTATTATAAATATAATTATAATATATTACAATCATAAATAATAAAAACAATAATAATTATAGTAATAAATAATAATAATAATAATTATTATTATAATAATAATAATTATTATAATAATAATTATTATTATAATAATAAATAATATTATAATATTAATATTAATATTATTGGAAATATTATTATAATTATATTTATTTTATTTTTTTATTCATATTACTATAAATTATAATAATGATTTCTTTTAATTTTTTTAAAATATTTCTTTATTTTCTCCTTATCCAATTTTTTTTTCCAACTACAAACATATCATGCTCTTTGTTTTCGTTTTTTTTTTTATTATAGTATAATTCATTATTCTTTTAATCTTCTCTTTCCCAATACCATATAAACAACTACAGAAGGGAATCACTCTATATATTATTATAGATAATATTAATAAATATAATAACAATAATATTAATAATTATAATAATAAGTAATACTAATAAAAAATAATATTAAATAATAATTATAGTTTATAATAATAATAATAATAGCAATTATAAATAAATATTATTATTTATTATTGTCAATATTATTATAATTATATTATTAATAATAATAATAAGTAAAATTATTTTATCAATAATCACTAGAAGAAAATTATTAATTATCGACGGTATTTACCGACACATATGTAACAATCGGAGAATAAGTGATTATCGATCGAAAATGACTGGACGGATTTAAAGTAGTTGTGGAATTTGGTTTTACTTGACGAATTTAAATAAAAATATTTTGTGTCAAGTGAATGCATTACCTACAAAATCCGTCGATTATTTATCAACGGATTTTCTTAGTTACCGACAGATTTTGTCCATCGAAAAATCCAATTTTTCTTGTAGTAAATAATAAATATTATTATAATATTCTTATATTTATATTTTTTATTATAATTATAATTATTATTTATTAATTTAATTATAATAATAATAAATATTATATTATATTATATTATATTATATTATGATATTAAAAAAATTATTATTATTATTATATTAATTTAAAAATATAAAAAAAAATAGAATTCCTCCTATTTTTTATAATCTATTTTAAAAGTTATACTTGAAAATGTTATTTTAATTTTATTTATTTTAAATGTTTTATAAAGATGTTTTATTATGGGACATGACTTATCGTAATTTTTAAATTTATTTATTTTAATAAATTAAAAAAAAACTACCCTATTTACTTAAAAAAGAAAATCTTGGAGAGAGGAGATGTTTTTAAACATACTTAACAAGTTGCATATAACATAGAAAGAAATGGTTCCTCCTCATATCTTAATTACTTTTATTTGAGGGATTTGTAGGCATATTGAATTTTAATTTGTTTTCTTACCTTTTTTATTTTCTATGAGTTTCTAGTTTTAATTTTCATGTGTATAAAAAAAATACTAACAATTATTTCAAACTAGTTGGTGAATAAGTTTATAAAATAATAGTATATAATCATCAAAGTTAAATATTTACACACAAAAAGAAGTATGTGCTTCAATCTTGACACTATTTTATCATAATAATTTTACCAGTAGTCTTCAATCTTTTTATGCAATTTGAGATCACTAATCCAAAATAATTATGGATAATTAACTAATTAAGACATTAACCTAATCTACGGATGAAAATATTTCCATCATACAAAATATTTACTTTAATTTTAAACTTCTTTAAAAAATATATATAGTTCTTCGTACTTTAATATGGTCCATATGATAGTGTAGTTCAAAATATTGCAGCAAAATTAAGAACAATACAGTTTAGCTTGTTTAAATAATTTTATAATTCAATTCTAATGAACGACATTTTCAGTTTATGTATGAAAATAATAATTCAATTCTAATGAACCACATTTTCAGTTTATGTATGAAAATAATTTATAAATTGTTTTTATTAAATAAATAAACATTTTTATAATAAGAAAAAAGTATTTAGTGAGCTTTTGTGCTCACAATTTTATCTAATTATTCACATTAGAATAATATCTTTTTAGTATTAATTTTTAAATTATTTTATTGAAAATTTCTAGTCTGCTAACTGAAATTTCATATAAAAAGTAATTTTTCTAATATAAATAATAATAAAAAATATTTTGAATTGCTATTTTATGTCAAATATGGATATTTTGTCTACACATACATAGATAATAAAATAGAGGTAAAGCAAATAAATGAAATCAATAGTCTACACATACATAGATAATTGTGTCAATGTGTTGATTTTCACATATAAAGTTGATTGTAAATTCATGAGTTTTCAATTATCCTGTAATAATCATATAACGTATACAATTACAACTAGATAGATGTAATATATATTTTCGACGCTTTAAACATCAACAAAAAGATAAAAACAAAAGTTTCTATTAAAAGTAAAGAAAAAAATCATATTTTTATTAACCAAATTAATTAAAAAATTATTTGTTTAATATAGTTGGTCTTACAAATAGTGATCCAGTTAGAAGAAAATCAAATGCAGGGAAAACAATGTGTCACCGTATTTTGAAATTATATTCATTTTATCTATGTAAAAAACATTTGACTAAGGCTTTTTGGTTACATTAATCTTTTTGATTAGCATATACCTAATCCTAAAAGGTAACAAAATAAAATTTGGAAAATGGAAAGGACCATGTTAACACACAAAATAAGTAATAACTGTGTATAGTTGTTGAGGACTTAACCAGTGTTTCTCATCCCAGCAGCAATGCCATTAATGGTTATAAGCAAGGCATCTCTGGCTTTGAGGTTGTCATCATCAATTCTTAGCCTCTTGAGTATCTCTACTTGCAACATGTTCATGGGATTGAGGAAGGGAAGTCTACTCTCAATCAGTTTCCTTAAGCTCCTGTTATTCTGCTGAGGTTTCTCATGCCCACTAACAGATAGCACAAACTTGCTAGTTTGGATGAGCTCATTCCTGAGTTGACTTCCAAGTTCTCGTCTCTTCTCTGAGACAAGAACTTCATCATAGTGCTTGGCAATAGGAATGTCTGCTTTTCCTAGAACCATCTCAATCAAGTCTATTGTGCTTTGAAAGAAAGGCCACTCTTTGTACATGGCCCTTAGCTCTTCAGTTTGTCCTTTCTCACAAGCACCTTTCAAGCCTGCTCCAACTCCAAGCCATGCTGGAAGAACAAACCTGGTTTGAGTCCATGCAAAAATCCAGGGAATGGCACGGAGGTTTCCAATTCCAGTGGTGCTCTTTCGCCTTGCGGGGCGGCTACCAATGTTGAGGAAGCCAAGCTCTGATTGAGGTGTGGCTTCATGGAAGTAGGACAGGAATTCTGGATTTTCATACACCACACTGCGGTAACACTGGCAACTGATCTTTGAAATGTCTTCCATGAGATTGCGCCACTTTTCTTCACGTGGCGGGAGAGGAGGACGAAGTGTAGCAAGTAGCACAGCTGTTGTGTATATCTCAAGTTGTCTAACAGCTGTTTGTGGCAACCCAAACTTGGCCTGCACCATCTCCCCTTGCTCAGTTGTACGAAGGGTTCCCTACAGTGTAGCGTGTAACACATTAGTATCATTGGTTTCAGAACAATGCTTGTTGTAGTTCTGCTTTCAAAAGTCTACGCAAATTGCAACCTAACAAACTGGAGACTACCAGGGAACATGATCTAGTCCATAGTTGAATAAATGACTTTCAAGTGATAACAAATTTCATATGCTCTTCCAGGGTCAAGAATTTTTGGGTTAACTAATTTTCAAACCTGAGAATTCATGGTGTATGACCCTCAAAAATTTACAACATGAACAACAGACCAAAAATGCATGACATGTTCCCATGTTAAACTTCGCCATTCTAGCAATTCAATAGTCCACATGATACATTACCTCACCTATGACAATGTGAAGTGTGCATTATGTTAACTAGAAACTTCTCCAGTAAGTATCCAGTGGAGAAATACAAATGAAGAGAATAAGTTGATTGATCTTCTCTTATAAAAGTTAAAATCAACTTGGGAATTTTACTTTTAAAAAACCTCTTTCATCTAAGCGCTAAAAGTTTAGGTTTATTAGTTGATTTAACATATAGTCATTTTACTTTCTTATTCTCTTCATCTATCAAGTATTCAAAGAAAAATTCATCCAAACATGAGTTAACACCTCAATCTTATAAGCATTAACCTCCGTTTTATGAATAGCACAATGCTTGATTATAGAAATATGTCAAAAGATAAACAATTATATATATCCTTGTGTTTGGAAACACATTGAATTTAATTGATTGTACAAATTGTTTAATTTTTATAAATGTTTTATTTGAATAAAATAATTTAAATTTATTAGATTTTATTTTTTTAAAATAAAATATTCCAATTAACACAAAATAAAAAAAATTATTAAACATTTTATTTTCATCAACATCAATTAGTGTTATTTTTCAAAATCTTTTGTTGAATGTTTTTCTTTAACTTTTCCATTGATGTCAATTAAAAAAAAATTATTGATTGGCATTAGAAAAAAATTTCTCAATTAATAGAAAAAATATCCAAACAGCATATTTTATCACAAAACATTTCAAATTCTTTATAAAAATAATTACCTTTTTAAAACTTTTCTTTTCAAATACGTTACAAATTTACATTGTCTACTTCTAAGTTTTTAAGAGCAAAGTATGACTATTAAGGTTAAGTTGTAAAACCCACCATCACAGAGCCGGGTGGTTGAGACTGAATAGCCATATATGTTGGGCCACCACCGCGGCCAATACTCCCCCCACGGCCATGGAAGAGGGTAACCTTAATACCATACTCTTTGCATGCAGCCACAACATCTTCTTGAGCTTTGTATAGTTCCCATGCAGCAGTGAAGCGACCAGCATCTTTCCCAGAATCAGAATACCCAACCATAACCTGCATATAGAAACTTATAATACTCCTAAATGAATTCACATCACAACTATGATACATACAACATAAATGAGAGTATGTAGTTTTAGAAAGAACCTCTTGATGCCCATTATGGTTTTTAATGATGTGTTGGCGATACCAATCTATTGACAAAAGCTTTCTGATAACTGAACCAGCTCCTCTCAGGTCCTTCACAGTTTCAAATAGAGGAACCACCCGCAGCCTATGTTGGTGGACACATTTGTTAATAAAATTCAAACGCCATTAACAATTTACAAGCTCATTTTTTCATCTCAAGACTATTGTAATTAGATAGAGGGTTTTAAATTGTGGTTACAGTTGTAATTTTGCCGCTGAACAAATGTGGTTGTGGACTGTTTTTTGAAAACTATGATAAACATTTCATTTCCCTACTTACGTTCCACCAGGACAAGCTCTTCCCAACTCCCCACTAACAGCAAGTCGTGAATCCTTTTGCAAAAGCTCTACTGCAAGAACATCACTGGCCTGATAATCAGATGTAAAAGAAAAATGGAAACGAAAAGATATTAGACACCTAAATTTATCAACATCAGATGCAAAGAATATTGAAAAATATTAACTTTTTCATGCAAAATGTAGGGAGTTTGGCATCTAAATTCAAATTGCACAAAGTGTTTAAAGAATTCGATTATACAAATTTTGCAGTGATCATTTATAAGTGTAATAGCAGTTAATCATACATTTGAGGCCATAGATATCACATAGGCACCAAATGAATCGCTCCCTAACTCAGCAGCAGTTCGGAACGTGTCCAAGACTTCTCTAACATCTGGAGCAACCTACAAAGAATAGATTAAGATGCCCGTCAAAAACAGAAACTCGGGAGTGTAGAATGAAGATGTACAACATTCTAATCATCGTACTGGATACATTACTTGTAAAGCTTAGCATTTGGTATGACATTCTAACAATCTCACCTCTATACTAGGGGGAACCAGTGGTCTCTTCCCTTTCAGCTCTCTAGTTAAGAAGTCCAGTTTCTTTTCTTCATCCCACTCACTGTATGTTCCCAAATCCAAATACCTTGTAATTGCATCAAGTGTTTCAGCATGTCTGCCAGATTCCTGTCACACTGCTAATTTCAGGCCACAAATGATTATCCAAACAATCATGAACAAAAAAACTTTGAAATGTTACCTGACGCAAGTCAAGTTTCATTAACACCATCCCGAAAGTAGTAACTCTTCGAATCAGATCAGCAAGTCGACCATCAGCTAGCACCCCAGATCCACATGATTGCTGAAGAAATGTAGATCTAAAGAATAATTATGCACAACATTAGAGGGTCAAAGGGTATGAAAAAGAAAAACGAAAAGTACCAAAGATTCATAGCAAAGGAGTAGGGGTTCCAAAAGCTGATCTGTTGTTTCATAATAATCCATAGAGTTATGTTCGCATGGACCATCCTCGATAAGAAGCTCCAACCGTCTACGAGTTCTCAGAAGCTAAACACATGGAACAGAAGATGAACACTATTATTATCTTACACTATATTACCAAGTAACAGGACAATGTATAAACCAGCATATTCAATAAAAAGGCAGATATGAACTAGTCTTAATGGCACACCGAATATAAATCCTCCATGAGAATATAATTTCATATGCATATAATGACAAATATGATGCTATCTATATAAGCATCTTCCTTGTGAAAGACATGGAATAAAGCAAATAAACTTGATCTCAAGATTAGTGCACTTAACCGTCTTTGACCAAAAGCACTACGATTTTCATCTTGTCCACCATAGTTCCTAAATACATATAAGTTAATGATCCATAGGTCTTCAATATGACATTCTACATAAAGGCATTCGGCAATTGAATTTCCAATCAGTAATGTCAAGATTCAAGTTCAAAAGTCCTTTACTCTTTACCTAGAAATAATACAGAAAATATCTATATGTTGAAATCAATCTCGCAAAGTTTTATTCACCACAACATTTTCTGCAATAATATCATTCCTTAATGGTTCTGCCCTCTTGATTTCATAATCAGCTTTCTTTTTCCCTAAAGGAAAAATCAAGCCAACAGCATTAATAGAAGATAAAGACAGAAGAACAATGGTGTTGGAATCTCTATCTTACATTTGCCACGCAATTTCACTTCTAAACCAAAACGAACTTTCAACCAACCCAAATAAACAAAAAATTGGCTATGCAATATCATTTTCTTTTTTTCATTTTCAAACTACAGTTCTCTGGAGTTTAATTTAAATCCTTTATGGAACATGCACAGGAACCCAGAAGTATATGCCAGGTTATAAAGCTGATAAGTCCTAAGAAACAATCAGCATAATCTTGTACAAAATACAGCAGCAGAAACAGAATACATGGGTCCAAGCAGCCAATTTTGAAGTAATACCTTATCTTTTACATTTCCAAGGACAACTCTATAAGGGGCAATTCCAGGAAGCGGAGGGAGCTTCGGCTCCAAAAGCCTATGGAAACTGGTTCTTCCTGTCTGGGATTCTGCAAACAATTTCCTCTGAGCAAGAAGTTGCTGGCTAGAGTTGAAAGAAGGAGAGCGTGCCATTGAAACTAATGAAGAAACACTGGAACTTGGTGAAATTGGTATTGGTGGACGGAGATTGGAACCGCCACCATTGGTCTCTGATGAACTTGAAGTCTGACCACCCTAACAGTGAATTTGTTTACACATGTATTATCTAGGATTAAATAGAAAATTCAGAAATATTCTATGGATCTACCTTATGATTGAGTTGCTTGTGATCAGCTCCTGGCATGAGTCTGGGATGCTCAGATCCACCCTTTTCTACATGAAATAAAACAAACAAACTAGAACTTCGTTCTAATAGATATTAATTAAATAAATAAGCTTGATTGGCTCAAGAATTTATGTCAGCATGTTAATAAAGTTGCACTTCATTCCTCATGCATGACAGCATGAGAAGTTAGAAGACACATATGACATATACGAAGAAAAGGACATTCCATTAAAACAGACACGATATGAAAAAAAAAAAAAAAAAAAAAAAGACATCAAATTTGTGCACAATTATGTGTACCAGCACAAGAGGGTAAATGAGCTCCAGGTGGAAGTTTAGTTGGAAGTGATGAAGCTTGTTGATTAGGATGTTTCAATTGACTTCTACTCATAGATTCATTCCAATTCTCACGGTGATTCTCCTCATCATTAGCTTCTGAAGAAAAATAAGTGATCATCAAGGCTTAAAATGGATTGAAAGAGTATACAAAGAGCATTATATCCATTCATTTAACAAATGACATAATTGACTGCTTAAAAGGAAATCAAATTCACTTGATAATCTAACCTCCAAAAAACAAAAATAGTTGCTGTGCACATGAACAAGTATTACTTCTTGACAAATAGTATCCAGAGGTCTCATTATATAAAAGAAAGATAACTCATGCCCGTTAGCATTTGGAAGACACCACCAAACACAAAACTAAAAAGAAAAAAACCTTCTAGAATTTCTTGTGCCAATTTTGACAACTCATCGCTGCACCGTTTCATGGATAGCTCAAATTTCAGGCTATCTATTTCCCGGACGTATAAGTCAATTGCCATCCATCTTGACAGGAGTGAAACCTCTTTTGAGACCTGAAAAACAAAAGGAAAGCCAATTACACAATCAAGGTTGACTTACATCATCAAATCAAAATCACACAAATATTCTACAAGAAAAGCCCACCCCTAGGTAAGAAAGAAAAATTTTGGTAATTTATTGGTTATGTTTGAAGCCCAGGCAACAAACTTCAGTAATTGAAATAGAAAAGCACATCCTTCAACTATTATAACCATGACAACAACATTAACCAAGCTTTATCCCAAACTTGAAGGAGTCAAAACATGGATCAATAACAATCAGAAATTAAATTTTCTATTAAAAAAATAATAAATAATTGTTGTTCCTCTAACTACAAATAACAGCAATAGTGATTTAGCTACATGGATCACACAATGTAACTGGTTTCAGATAAAAACCAAATTCTCAGGGCGTTCATGTCTATCAAACATTCAACATAATTTTGCATTGGTTATCAACAGCCTAAAACAGCTCAAATATTTTATCCTACCCTAAGGCAAATTAAACAACATTGGCAAAGTTCCCAAAAAATTATTCAAAGAAAAATTTGGCATGTTAAAAGCTCATTTAATTGTCAGCTTTCCCAGTTCAATCATCATTGAACTTGCACTTTCTAAAATGACAGACAGCATCACTGGACATATTCGGGTTCTCAATAATATAATGCATTACAAATTCAACTATGCTTCCACAACTAGAAAACTTCTCACATGTTGAGAATCATGTAGTCATTCGAGAAAATGAAATATCATTGTAAAAGTTAAGGCAGCATGAATGGATACTTGAAAATGCTACCTTTGCTGTCACATTTGGGTTTCCATCTCTGTCACCTCCCATCCAAGATCCAAACTTTATTGGAGTGCAAATCAATGGAAGTGGTTTTCCTGTGTGCTGCAAGGAAGGGTAAATTGCATTGAAAATCTTAAAGGGAAAGAATGTACAAGTTAATAGACATTCATTAAAGATGACATACCTTCTTTAAAGCACTGCTAACTCGACGTAAATAACGAGGAACAGCTTTCCAGAGTGATTGCTCCACAATATTCAATCCTGGGAGAATTGAAAAATAAATGAACCAAGGCACTCTTGTTCTTCCACTTCATATTTTAACAGTTGAAATATAAAATGTCAAGGGCTGTGTACTCTAAAAGATTAAGTTATTATGTGCTCATGGAAGAGCCTTTGTGGAACAATAAAGACAAAACTCTCGAACACTTCGTAAAAAAGGCCATAGAGCATTCTTAGGGAACAACTAAAACAACTTAAGCTCAGAGTTAAAGAGTTATTAAAGGTTTTATATCTAAAACATACACAAAAGCAGCTTACCGGCTCTGGCTTCAGCAACTGGTGTGGGTTTTTCACGCCTAAGTTCATCTGTCTGCCATATTGAAGTTATCTCTCTCACCTACGATTTATGAGAATAGAAAAGTGAGCAAGAAATAAATTTCACTACCCAGATATAATCTACTACCCTACAACACTAGATTTTTATTTCTCAGGTACAAACACTAGTGGTTAAGTAGAAAAGAAATAGTTCGGGAGTGGTACCAGATCTTCAATCAGCATATCTCGATCTTCAGGGCCAAGATCAGGTCGATCATTATAATCCAAAAGATGCTGCGTGAAGGTGAAAAAGTAGTTAGAGACAAAACACAAACATAATATATTGAGAGATTATATCATAAAGTTCAAGGTTCAAGCGTCCAGTAATTAATTTATTCAGAAAAGTGAACTCACAGCAATTTTCATGTGTTTGTATTGCAAAGTACGACGATTAATTTGAGTGGGATGAGCTGTGAGAACAATTTCGACCTCCTGTATCAACATAGAAAAAAATGGATTTAGAGTGGATTCTGTTAAAATCCATGGTAATAAGCATGTTCCACTAAGTATCAATGACGAAATTTTTTTCAAGATAGCAAATCATTAAATGCTTCAATCAAAACTTGCAGGGTTCATGGACAATGAAATATCATTTACTTATTTTCATCTATACTTCTCAGACTATGCAGATTAACAAGAAACGAGGAAGAAAAAAAAGACCTGCTTGCAAACTGAGTCATAAAGCTCGTCTGGAGTAACTCCATCTTGCAACAGCTGGTTAAAGATGTCATCACAAGATCTTGCAACAAGAACCAGGTTTCCTCCTCTACGAACCCTGCACAACCATAACTTGTTCAAAACCATCACACTGGGGTAATCATGGACTAAAGAAGTATAATATTTCATCAATGTTGTTATTAGTCCAAGGTTCAGCTTATTTTGGAGATTATGGCTTATTTAAGGACAGAGCTCAGATAAATAAAGACGAGAAATTATCAATTAATGGAATAAAAAAGAGAGCAACAGTTATGAATACCTATGGTGAGTTTCAGCTATACCCATCAAAGTAAGATGGTGGCTAAAGGCACGAGCAATGGTAAGAGCATCTTCTAGTGTCATCTTGGATAATTCTGAAGCCAATTGCTTCTCTAGCAGCTCAGCCATGTCTTCAATCCCCGCATGTCTCATGTTACAAGCACTCTACAGACCAAACAAAATATGTTAAAAATTCCTATATATTGCCAGCAAATGTAAATGGTTACATTGTTCACCAATTCTAAGAAAAATACATTTTTCTTTTAAAACAATTAAAATTAAATGTTTTTTATCTATTATGTACAAATCTATTTGCTTTTGATTTCTAATTTTTTGCATTTTCACAGACACTTGTAAAAAAGAAAATATATAAGTAAACATTAATCTATGTTAAATTAACAATAAAATTTAGAAAATTATATATAAGAACTTATACAAATTAATTTATGCCTAACGAAATACAAAATTTATTATGAAGAAATTCATTTTGATTTTTTTTATTTGTTTATTTTTCTTCAAATATATCTTTTTTTTTCTTTTTTAATATTGTATTATGTAAAAAAAATTAATTCCTACATTATATACTTTTCAAGCGAGTTAATTCAAAATAAAAAAATTATAGGGACAAAAAATAAGAAATTACTTTATCAAAAGAACTAAAATAAAATAACGAGAAACAAAATCAAAGCAAATATTTAAAGGGATAAAAATTAAACAAAAATATTTTAGAGACAAAAATAAATTTTAGGGATGAAAATATATTTAAATCAAACAGTTATTATAAATAAATTGTACTATAGAAGAATTCAAATTTGAGATGTAATAAAACAACCTTTACACTAATTACTGTCTGCATTTTTGCTTTTCAGAACTGTTGGTGACACAAACAAGTAATTTCAAAACTCATCATGGATTATAGAAGATTTAGTAGCCTGGGGGCCAAAAATTAGCTAAAATAAGAAAATAAATTTAAAAGGTTTAGCTCAATCATGATGTGAGTCTTTGCTTAATGTGAATCCCACATGCATGCACCATGAACACTAAATGCATTAAGCATGGCATGGTTCAATCTTCTTCTTCCTCCTAAACCAAACAACAAATGAACCAAAAAAATGAAATCACAACGACTCTTGAACAAAAAAATATATATATTAACAAGCCCGTGTTTTCTTCTCCAAATCCTAAAGAACCAAACAGAATCTCAAAAAACAGTAGTGAAATAGAAGAAACATACTTCATAACTGCAAAAACTATAAAATCAACGTAGAAAACATCAACAACGTAGCTTCCGCCATCCTCTTTTTCTCGTCATTGGATCCGATTCTCCAAACGTGAAACCAAGATAAAGCAAGGAAAGCCCATTTGTGAAAAAGAAGGAAAGGGAAAACCTGTGCTAGGACTCGGATTTTTTCGAGCTTATCAACGAAGGAGGGGCCAGCCTCTCTCTGCAAAATGTCATTGAGAAGACTTCCAAGCATATTGCAGTCATCATCGAAGCCTTGGAAGGAGATTTCCTCCGCTATGTCGTCAGTGATGTCAGTCATTGTTGCCACACAACCAGAACTGTAATCACACAAAAAACAAACACAGAAGAAGAAGAAGAAGAAAAAGTGTGAGAGAGAGGGAGAGTGTGATGAGAGAGGAGAAATTGGCACATAATAAGGAGGCAAAGTATAACTAACTGGCGCTAACGAAGGAGGTTGAGAAATTGTGACTGTTCTTCTCCCACTCATTGTAAGAACCTTTTACGTGGTCATTTCCATTTCTTTTTTCTCTTCTCCAATGTTTTCGGATGCATATACAAGGTTAATAATCATGATTTCCAAGCCCAAAAATATAGTAATATTAAAAAAAGTTTCAATAATTTTTTTAATTTAAACACGTTTCGATTTTCCGTATTTTCAATAAAAAAATATTTTACTTAATCTTTCAAAAAAATAAATATTTTGAATTTCAAATTGAATATTAGCTCCGAATAGTTTCCTTGATAATATTTTTTTTACCTGCATCTGCCCAAAGTTACAATTTGCAGAGTTCAATTTCTTGTTAATTTACAAAACTATGTTATCGTCTAATTAAAAATCATTATTCATAATAAAATTAATTAAAAATTATTGTTACTATATTTTTTTAAAATGGTTAATTTGTAATTGAAAAGAAAACAAGTCTTTTATTCGATTTCTGAAACAATAATTATCTTTCTACAAAAATTTTAAAAAATATTTTTGTTAGTAGTATTTTTCTTTTCCAATTTTTTTATAATTATTAAAAACATTTTTATCGAAATATAATAAGTCAAAAATGAAAACACTTGTCAATTTTTGCATTAAAAAAAGATGCTTGGAGCGCAAGCAGACTCAGTTTCCCAGAAAAATCAATGCGCCACGTGTCAACTAACTATTGGATAAAATCACCACTGCAGAACTTTAATATTGCACTATAGAGGACCACTGTAACGTAACCGCAGAGACCTTAATCAGGAGAAAACAAAATGGAAAATAACAACAGCAACGGAGACCCCTCGCCGGTGCCGCGGGTGGCGGTGGTCGTTTTTCTCTTGAAGGGCAGATCGGTCCTCCTTGGCCGCCGCCGATCCGCTGTCGGCAACGCCACCTTCGCCCTCCCCGGCGGCCACCTCGAATTCGGTCACTCCCTTTCTCTCTTTGTTTTTATTATTCTTTGTTTTTCCACTAAATACTTTAAAATAGAAATAGTATAATAGTGTTTGTTTAAATTATACCAGAGAGAATAGAGTATGTGAAAATGTCAAAGAATTTGGATTATAGTTTTTACTCACAGAATGTTTAAATTTAAAATTTTATACTGATTATTTAAAACTTTTATTATTAGGTTGATCTTAGTTAGGGTTGTTGATCAGGAATATTAGTAAATTATTAATAAAATTATATAATTGTGTACGAAAGTAATTAATGTTGATAGTGTTTGACAAATTTCAAGTAATAATGAAAACATGTGAAATGAGTCCATTGATAAAAGTTTAGTTAAATGTTCCTTCAAATGTAATTTTCAGGGGAGAGTTTTGAAGAATGTGCAGCGAGAGAAGTAAAAGAGGAGACAGGATTAGAGATAGGGAAGAGTGAGTTTTTAACAGTAACAAACAATGTGATGCTGGAGCAGCCAAAGAAGTGTCACTATGTCACCATTTTCATGAGATCAGTGGTGGGTGTTGATGCAGAAGAAGAACAAGTGCCACAGAATCTTGAGCCTCACAAGTGTGATGGTTGGGAGTGGTATGAGTGGGATCATTTGCCGCACCCTTTGTTTGGGCCTCTCGAGAGAATGGTCAAAGGAGGGTTCAACCCATTTTCTTCCTAAGTTTGGGATTTTTTTTTTTGAGATTGGTTAGGTAACCATGTGTTTGGGTCAGGTTTTATGTGTTTGGTTTCATGGTTGGAATGGATTTTATTGTTCACAACAATGTAATGTATGGTCATTTTCTTCTATTAAGTATTTACATTCTAACATTTCAAATTTCTGAGTTTTAAAATTCATATACAAAAATGCCTTTTTTATATCATCTTTTATCATTTTTTTTTAAATGTTTATGGAGAAGTTTCCTAACCAACCTTAAACAATCAACAAAACTCTCATGTTGAACTTCAATTAGTAGTGAGAGAAGCACTGAACCTCCCTCTCAAACTCCTTCAGCAATCAGCATGAGTTTTCTCTTCCTATATAAGTTTTGAGGGAAAGATGATAAATACCACAAAAATTTTCAAGTAATTTGATAGTTTAAGCTTTAACAAGTAAAACCTTTGATTTTGGCATGTGGGGCTTTTATTATTGTTGTTAACTTATAAGTTTAATAATGTAGTAGAAAAACTTAAAAATTTTATACTAAAAAAATAATAAATTTTCCTTTAACCTGTACTTTTTATATGCATCAAATTTCTTACAAACTGAAGTTAACATAATAAATCAAAAGTTGGAATTATTAAGTAATGTTTAATTAATTCTAACTATTCCATCAAAATATCTATGTATCATCACTTCAATTGTTGTATAAGTGAAATACTAGGATTTGATTTTGAATGTTTTATGTTTTAAATAGGTATGTACAATAATTAAAAACTAATAAAAAATAAAATATTCTTAACTTTTATTTAAAGTTGGTTATATTTTGAGACGAGGAGGTAAGTAAGTAAATTTTAAATAATAAACGAATGGGAGTTATCATATAAATAATCAAATTAATAATTTATTGAACATCCAAGTTCATGCTAAGGGTATCATACTGGGAAATAATTTCTCATAATACAGTATATCTTATAAAACACATCTAAAAGAATAATAATTACAATTTACGTAGAACTTGTAGTTTTTTATATTAATTTTGATATAATACTAAATCATTATAAAATAATTTTTACTATGTCATAAGAAGAGATTTTATCTTTTAATATAAAAATAATATTTTTTTATACTTTTAAATTATTGATTATAATATATTAAAATTATATTTAATATCGAAAAACTATCATCGTTACTTTTTTTTCTTATATATTTACACAATTCAAAACTAATATATAATAATTGACTTCAAAATATTTTTGCTTCTTACAAATATTCTCCTGTCTTGTTTTAGTATCTATAAATCTCAGTCTTTAAAAATAAATTATTTATTTATTATCATAAATAAATAAATTACTAAAGTAAATATTTTAATATTTATTTAACACGATATGTTAAAAAAATTACAATCATAATATAAAATTAATATATAAAAAATAAGTTATTAAGTAATTATAATTATTTTTTATAAAATTTAGTAAATAAAAATAATAAATATATATATAATAAACTTATTTATATTAAATAAATAATATATTACTTAGTTAAATTTCATTATCTTAATAAAAAATATTATCTGTTATTTTAATTATATTCATTAATATTATTTAGTGGTACATTAGCTATATAGTTAGTGACAAGTCCTAAAAAATTAAAAATAATTTTAAAGTATATGATAGTGTGAAGTTAGTTCTTTCTTTTAAATGTGTGAAGTGAAAAAAAAGGGAAAAAGAGTAAAAAAGGTGAAATTATTTGGATCCAAAGAAGGAAAATAAAAAATTTAAGATGAATGAGTAAATAATTCTAAAATATATTTGATTGATTAAATGTTATTTTATTATTTTTAAATAAATTTATTATTTAAATTTTATTATTTGATAATTTATTTATTATAATAATTAAAAAATAAAAAATTAAGACACAGTCAATTATATATAAATATATATATATATATATATATATATATATATATCATTTCTTAAGTAAAAAAAAAAACCTAATTTTTCTAATCCTAAAAAGTAGATTATAGAAATAGGTTATTATAAAAATAAAAACATTAATCTTCGATGGAATAGAGCATTTTTCTTTCTCCTGTCAAGTCACTTAATTTCTTACTCAACCAAACATCCAGAATGAAGTGGGTTTCCGTTAACTTAGAACAGTTGCAAACAAAGTAGAGATAGGTAAACGGTTTGCACTAAGCAACATATGAAAAACACTATTTGTAGTCCACGATCGATATGTTTTTTTTTTTTTTTCTCAAAACAAAACTATGATTCTCACAGACAACACAATGCAGAGTCCTAGGGTTGGTTTCAAGTCCAGGTTTGGTGATCCGTGAGAATGGTCGGTCCCTCACACCAAATAAAGCGACCACACATAATCCTCAGTCTTATGTTGCCACTTCCAACATTTTCAACTGTGTTTTGACTTTTTCACCCCACTCTTTGATGATGAACATTTTGGTGAGCATGTAGCACGAGCCAAGTTATGGTCATAATTTCATTTTTCTTTTGGACAACGTTGAATTTTGTATTCTCAAGTGTCTTGGGATCCGATGAACCCAAATAATTCACACTAACGAGATAATAATCGCCCAATACCCAAAACCCTATTCCCATCCATCTCTTCAAATAGGGTTTCAGTTTATTGGCTCAATGCTTCTTTAGATATGATGATTGTATAAACTTTCCGACATTGTTGCTTTTGGATCCACATGTTACAAAATCAACTTTCCCCTGAAATCTATTGTGACTTTGCTATACTTTACGTGTTACTTAGAAACTGATTTATGGTTAACAAGATGTCTCTTGTGTCCCATGACTTTGGGTTCGATTTATTCATGGTTTTTGTATTCTTTTTTCTTTTATGAGTTTTTCGACATGCTTGTATTCTTTTTATCGTTTATATATTACTCTCTCTCTCTCTCTCTCTCTCTCTCTCTCATATATATATATATATATATATATATATATATATATATATATATATTACAAATGATCAATGAATTTTCAGATGTTTTTATTTATAATTTGTGGATTAACTTTTTATACTCCGTTTGTTGTGATATATTTAATAGAGAAGAAAAAAAATAGATAGACGAAGAAAAAAAAAAATATATATATATATATATATATATGCATCTTGCTGTAATCTATTGTGACATTTTTTAATATAGTATGAAATAAGCTTTATAGCAGGATTTATTTTGTTACGTAACAGATGTATGTATATTTTTTTATTTTCGGGGGAGTTTTTTCATAACTACCTTACTCATTCTCTCAAGAAATCCTATTATATGTTATTTTATTAGTTAATTAAATGTTTTAAAACAAGTACAGATTTTGTTATGTCGCGAATATCCACAGATATGTATAAATATTTTTATTTCATTCTTAAATAAGATTTTTAAAATTTATATTTAAATAATTTTTCCATCTTAAAATATAATTTAAATAAACTTATACTATACACTATTAACATAAATAAAATTATTTTTCTAAAATTAAAATTTAAACAAATTAAAAATAAAATAATATTTTGAATATTAATTTAATTCCATAAATCTAAATAATAAACTGAAATGTATAAAATTTAATTTAATCATTTTTAATCTATATTTAAAATAATAAATTTATTTAATTGTTTCTGTATAAAAAATAATATTTTTGAGATAATAAAGCGTTAATTTTTAAAAAAGTTATTTATGTCCATTTGAATTGAAAAGAAGAAGAACAGGGGACATGAAAAACGTGGATACCAAAAGAAGGGGATTGTTTGCAAGAGACAGTGGGTGGTGAATGTTGTAGTGTTGAATGGAGGTGTGACAGAGTAAGAGAGTGATCCTAAAATTGAGCCAGCGTTCACTGTGAAAGGGATGCACAGTACACAGAGCACGATGGTGGCTGAAGGCATGCATGGTGCAGGGGAAAGTGGCTTGTTGGGAGCATCAGTGTTGAAATTAATGAAAGAGGTTGTTTTGTGTTCAAATGTAGACCTGCTGGTGGTCCAGGGTGGGTATGGTAGGTCTGCCTTCACCTTCTCTTAACTCTTTCCAATGCATATGCATCTCACACTTCTTATTTTTATTCTTGCAATTTTTCAACTTTTTAAAAAACAAAAACTTTACTATCTAATTGTATTTCAATTTCAACTACTACTATCATATCTTCTTCTCATTACTCACTCTTTCTTTATCTCTAAAAATCTCCAATTCCTTGTTCCCAACAACAGGTAGGTTGGGGCTGTTTACCTTCCTTTTGTCAGATTCCTTTGCCTGTCCTTTGGTATCACAAACCCTGACAAAAAGCTCCCCCAATCAAACAATAAATCACCCATCCAACACACTCTCTACCCACAAGTCGCATTCACATACCATCCTCACTCTTCACTCTCTCTCTCTCTCTCTCTGTTCCAAATGAAGACCATCATGGCAGCCAAATCCCCCCACGACACTTCCTTCTCCTTCTCGAGGAGATACTTCCATTGGAAAAAGAAAGCCTTGGATGAAGACGATGACAACGAGGAAGAAATCCTCAACTTCTCAACTTCATCCTCACACTGCCTAGATGACAAACACGAAGATTACAACCACCCCCATCACCACCTCACACTCCAAATGCCATCACAACATGCCACAATCACCACCACCCCACTGGAATATAAGAAAAAACCAAACTTTTCAAAGTTCAAGTCAGCCCTCACAGTCTTCACCAAGCGTACACACCACCCCCTCGGCACGCGCGTGGTGGGCACCCTCTTCGGCCACCGCCGCGGCCACGTGCACTTCGCCTTCCAAGAAGACCCCAAGGTGGGGCCCGCATTCCTAATCCAGCTCGCAACACCCACAAGCGTCTTGGTTCGTGAAATGGCCTCAGGGTTGGTGAGAATCGCGTTAGAGTGCGAGAAAAAGAAGAGTAACAAGAACAACAACAACAACAATGGTTTAAGATTGTTGGAGGAACCTGTGTGGAGGACATACTGCAACGGAAGAAAGTGTGGATACGCGAGCATGCGCGAGTGTGGGCCTGAGGAGTGGAAAATACTGAAGGCCGTGGAGCCCATATCGATGGGGGCAGGGGTTTTGCCGGTGGAGGGGTGTGAGGAAGGGGAGGTGATGTACATGAGAGCAAGGTACGAGAGGGTGGTGGGGTCCAGAGACTCTGAGGCCTTCTACATGATGAACCCTGATGGGGGTGGGGGTCCTGAACTCAGCATTTACTTGATCAGAGTTTAACATTTCCAAACCAATCTATGTCCTGCATTAAAACTTCATCCATATTAAGGTTTATCTCCTTTTCATCATCACCATGTTTCCCTTTCTTCTGTAAATAAGATCAGGGACTGCATCATTTATTTTCCTTTTCTTTTGGCTATGTTATCTTTCAAATTTTGTTTATGAAATTCTAGGTGAAGTTATTATAAAGTATGGTTAATACTACTACATGGTTTGGCTTCCACAATTTTCTTCCTTATTATTTTGACTATTTGAGTAATATAGGTAATGGATTCTGGTGATGTTGTTGAGGAACAAGTTGTATAATTGATTTTTGGTTTATTTCATGGTGAAAATGGTCCCAAAAGTTGTATGATTGATTTCATTCTGGAATGCAGAAGATAAGAATGGGTTTTCATGGTGCAATATTTTGTTAATTTTGAGTAGTGTTTGTTTGATTTCCTTCGAATGAAATAGTTGGCTTCTAAAAATTCCAAGAAAATTAAATTATTGGACCGCAAAAGCTTTTTTCTTTTTAAACGTAGATGTCACTTGGTGGGTTGGAATAACAGTTTTCATTGATAAGCAAGAGAGAGAGTAATTAGCAATAATTAATTTACCAATGGCTCCATTGCTGAAGCTAAAGCTACTATAATTAGCAATAATTGATGCTTTATTAAACCAAATTTTATAGCTTCTATTTTTCTATACAAGAAGCTCATTTGAAAAATAATAATGCTAGGGACCATAAAATCTTGGGATTTGTTTGTAGCAGTTTTGTTGTCTGTGTTGTGTATTATAAATGCATGGTTTTGGCTAGTTGAGAAGTGCTTGTATGAATTCTACACTTTCGGAAAACCAAATGGTCCTCAAGTGTCTACTTCATCTTACCTTTTTAGATAAATGTTTTTAATGTGTACAAGGGTTCATTTGGGTAAAATATGAAAAATATAATCTATTGGTAAAAAAATATAAACTATTTCTAGAATAAGCTTGTTGGTTGGGACATCAACTTAAATTTTGTAAGAAGGTTTTTTTTTTAATAAAAAAGTTATTTCAATGTCTCTATTTTCGGCATTTATTCACCAGTTTAAATAAAGTAGAGTTAATAATATAAGGGTGTTAATTTTAGTTATATTTATCTAAATTTAAATACTTTATATGATAAAATAATAATAATAATAATAATAATAATAATTTGGAATTTAAGTACACTCTTTTAAAATTGAAAATTAGTAGATAAAAAGAAAGGAAAATAGTAACTAAATTGTCATTCAACAGAACGTTGAGATTCGAAACAAAAATTTCAACTCAACAATATTAGCAGCACATTATACTTAAGGGATAAGATGTGAGGGTGATTTAATTGGATTATATGAGTTAACTTAAAAATAACAACAGTTTCTCACCTTAATCGATTAGGTGTATTGATTTACTTGCCTATATTTATTTGTTTTTGTTTTTTTTTAATAAACATGACTGAATAACGAGAGATTGTGGTATGATAAATGTTATTACGTATTTAGAAAATAATAAAAATAATAAATACAATGGTGTAATTTATGAATGTCAAAATAGGCTAAGTCCAAAGACATGAGAAATAAGTTAAATTAGACTAAAAAAATTGTGATTAAAATTGAATTAGATTTATTTTGACCTGACCTAATCTAGATCATGATTTAGATCAGGTTAGTCCGTAAGTTTATAGGTTGACCTGTTTTATAGAATAATAATTATTTTTTAAATAATAATAATACTATTATATATATATATATATATATATATATATATATTATAAATTATTTTGACAAGAATTCATTTATTATAACAATAAATATCAGAATAAATTTCTAATAATCACTTATTCCATGATCTAATGATTAAAATTAATTATTATTTTAAATTATTAAAAATAAATAATAATAATAATAAAGAGTAAATTTTTAATTATTAATTTGAGATTGAATGAATATATTCTCTTATAATTTATATAGTAAGTAATTGTATCTTGAACAAAAACTAATTACATTAATAAAATTTAAAATTTCAAAATATACTTTTATTTATTTTTTAATTAATTGATTTTGTAAAGATATGTTAATATTAAAAAAACAAAAACAAAATTAGTCTGTTAGCCTGTTGGTCTAATATAGGGCTAAACTAAGCTAAATTTTTTGTCCATTTTAAAATATAGGTCAGGTAGACTAGACCTCCAGTTTTGACAGTTCTAGTGTAACTAAACTATAATAGTGTGGTGGCGCAACGAATGCAGTAGCAAGACTAGAATGCGAGATGAAATGTTGTGGTGCAATCGTATTAACAAACGTTGTGACACGACTGAAATGCAACAAATGTTATGACGCAACTGAAATGTGGTGACACAACAACATGGTGGCTTAGTTGTGCGACGGAAGGATAACAAGCAATCATAATGCAGTAACAAACTTAGTGGTGCGATGAACAATTAAGTATAAGCTTTAATGAGGATCTGACTTATAGGCCCAACGTGTAATAGAGGTGAAGAGATATTATAACATTAATTTAGGTTACTAAAGTATTATAATTATTTTTAAAATTTAAGATGAATATAATTCGAATTTGCTTAATCCGTGAGTTAAATAAGTCAGGTTCATTTTTAACCCATTATTAATAGAAATGAAAAAAGTTGAACTTAACTCAGTTTGAACCCGTAGTGAATCAGGTTGGCTTATAGGTTACAACTCATATTAACACCCCTACTTAAGAATGACAAAACGAGTCAGCTCATCTCATCTCTGGCCAACCAAAAATAGGATGAGGGCAGATAATCAAGACATATTACAAACCTTGACTGGGCGAGTGTCAGCCCCACAATAAGTTTTTTTATATGAATTTTTTTACATGTATTTTTTAAAAAATATATCTTTAATTATATGAATAATTTGTAATGTTTAATTTATTAATTAATATTTTATTAGATAAATTGAAAAAAATTATATTTTATGTTAAAATAACTAATTATAATTAATAATTTAAATTTAATTAATTAATTTTGTAATTTAAATTATAATATTATAATATATTTACATATTTTAACAATGTAACACAAAAAATATAATATTTTTAATTATAATTACTTTTATTTTAATATAAATATTTTTTAAAATAAACCAACGGATTAGTCTTCTCATCTCACTCTTGACTTAGTGAATTGGTGTGCTAGATGGTGCAGGCCAAAGTAAATTAAACGAGTTGACAGATTAAAGTTACTAATCCCACCAATTTTTTAGGTGGGTCGGTCCACGGACCTAGCTCAAATTTTTAGACCTAATTTTATTAGTCTATGTTTTAATTTTTGGTTAATCTAATCAAGATTTAATCATGGTTGAACTATATAGTAATTAGAATTCAACAATGTATAAAGTAATATAACAAATATAATATTATAATTTTATAACAATAAATTAAAACTTAATTTATAAAATTTTAGCGTTCAAAATATACACTCCAAATTTAAATTATATATATAATATGATACTTATTATAAATTCTACAATACAGAATAATATTAATCATAACAACTTTAACTCATTTATGAAGAAGACAAAATTATCTCCAGAACAAAATTGAAAATACAAAATAATTTACGTTTTATTTAAGAAAAAAACATTTTGTTGATTTTTTTATTAACTTAATGTAATTTAAAAAAAATTTGATAAGTTTTATTAACTTTCCTAGTTTTTAACCAACTTTCATGGTTTTAATCAATGTCTTGCTCAAGGTATAAGCAAAGAAACTAATGATTCCAGTTTTCTATACATCACTGCTTTGAAAAGAATAAAAGGTGCGATAAAGTCTTTAAATCTGTTAGTCTTAATCAATATTCCTATTAGTCATAACATTTATGGATAGTTTATTATGGGATTTAGAAAAAAATAAAATCTGAATCAATGATTTTTTATTGATTTGAATTAGTCTGAATAGTTAAAAAATAAAACAAATTTCAGAATGCATAATCTCTCTCTATATATATATGTATGTATATTCTTGATAGTATTTTTTTTAATTTGTCAGATATTTTAAAAGAGTAATTTTATTCATCAAATACTTGTTGGTGCAGAAAGAATTGTTGGTGCAGAAAGAAAAGTGTGGGTGTGAGAAGAAAATCATTGAAAATACCAATGAGGTTTGGCCCAATGCGAAGGGAATGAATAAACTCATGGACAAGAGTTGTTGGGCTGGTTCAGGACTTTTAGACAATAAAAGTGACAGTAACTTTTTAAATCTAAATTTTCAATTTGTTATATATTTTTTATATATATAATATGACTTGAAATTTTGTCAGAAAAGTTTACTTAAAATTATATTTTCTTGATTAAAACTACTATAGTTTATAGTAAGGTTAGTTTTTAAACAAACCATGTGTTAAGATTGGTATCGTTAATTTTATAAATGATATTAATTTGAAATTGAGAGATTTAAATTATTAATTAATAATAAAAGAAAATAAATAAATAAATAATAAAACTGAAAAGATGATTAAGTGTTTTATTATAAAAACTGTAGAGTATATCCACGTGAGAAGGAGGAATCCCATTATTAATTCCTGAATAAAAATAATGTCGCGTTTATCACAAGATAATAAATAAACAACCACACTGTAGTAACCAAAACTCTTATTCCAATAAAGATTTGTTTCACAGAAAAATAATTAAATAATACATGACTTTTATAAGTATTTTATTTCTAATAAATTTACATCGAATGTTAACGAAAGACGCTACAGAAAATTGTTTTTAAATATAAGAAATAAAATATAATACAAGAAATTACCGAAATATTTTCTAAAAAAATTATGAAAAATTATTCTTGATCTTTATCCTTTAAAAGATTTCGTTCTTAAGTGTGAACATGAAACTCTGAATAGAGAGAAACTGTCTTCCATTATTCCGTTGAAATAAAAGTTCTTGAGATTTGCATTCCGTGGAAACTGGAAACTCACTGTTTGATATGGACTTTTACAATCTGTTTCTTTCACTATA